TAGTTTTTGGTTTATTTTTCTGACAGAATTTGCATTTGTTAATATAATCCTCCACGTCGCGCGTTATACCGCGCCAATTATGTAATAGTTTAATTCGGTTCAAAGTTCGTGCGATTCCTTGATGTCCCTCTGTTGGCGCATCATGATATTCGTAAAATACTCGTCGCTTTTCTTCTGCAGTGTATTCTCGTTTTATTTCTTCCTCTTTTTCGTCGTCATCGTTTCTCTCTTCGTCGTGTGCAACGGTGTTTAACTGTGAGTCAAGAGTGATTTCTGCTTAGTGCATCCGTGTTTGTATTTCCTTTGCCTGTCTTGTAAATAATTTCGTAATCATATTCTTCTAGTTTGAGTCTCCACCGTATCAATATAGATTCAAGGTCTGAAATGCTGAATAGCCAAACTAATGGTCCATGATCGTGATTATTTTAAATTTCGTTCCGTATAAATATGGTCGGAAGTATTTAATTCCCCATACTATCGCTAGAAGCTCTTTCTCAGTCGTATTATAATCGTTCTGTTTTATTTAATACTCTGCTAGCATAAGTTATTGCACGATCTTGACCTATTCGTCCTTGTGATAATATTGCTCCGATGGCGTAATCGGACGCGTCGGTAGTTACTAAAAATTCTTTAGTAAAATCTGGGTAATTTAATATTGGTGCCGTAATTAATTTTTCTTTTAGTGTCTGCAAAGCGTATTGTTACTCAATATTCCAATTAAATTTTTCCTCCTTTTTTGTTAGTTTTGTTAGAGGTTTGGCAACTTTCGAAAAGTCTTGAATGAATTTTCGATAATATCCGGCCAGTCCTAAAAATGACTGTATATCTTTCACTCTTTTTGGTATCGGAAATTTCTCTACCATTTGCAATGTACGGGGATCAAGTTGTATCCCATTTCCCATAATAATATATCCTAGATAAGTAACTTCTTTTCTGAGAAACTCGCATTTATCTGGCTGCAACTTGAGATTATGGTCTCTCAATCGTTGCATTCAGTTAGTCGTTTATTGTGTTCGTTCAATGTCGCACCATATATTACTACATCGTCAAGATAAACACATTTGAGTCCTTGAATCCGGTTAACACCGATTCATTAGCTGTTGGAATATCGCGGGCGCGTTTTTAAGTCTGAACGGCATTCTATTAAATTTATAGTGTCCATACGGTATAGAAAAAGCCATTTTATTTTTATGTTTTTTCTTCATAGAAATTTGATGGATGCGAGGTCTAACATTGAAAAATATTTTGCATTTCCTAGCTGATCTAGGATGTTTGTTATATTTGATAGTGGAAAAGAATCTCCAATTGTTTAATTTTCAAAAATCCACTACGATGCGTAGTTTTTGTTTCTCAAATGCATCCACCTTTTTGGGTACTACTAGCAATGGCGCATTCCATTGACTCGTACGTATTATTCCGTCACCAATAAGACCAAATAAATATATAATTAATATCTAGATTTACTTAAATGCTTTTATTAATATTTATTTATTTTTATATTGCACATTTATATAAAAATTTTTTATTTTTATTTAATTTAACTAAAATCAAAAAGAGGTAAATTATTGTTAATAATTTAATTGAATTATTTATATTTCTAGTTCGAAATAGAATTAATAAATAAATTTCTAACTCATTTTCCATGATTTCAAATCATGCTATTTCTTTAAATCATTTATTACTCTAAATAATCACTTTTTCATTTTCCCGTTTTTTTTATCTTCTTATCTAATTTGGTTTATTATAAAAATTAAACTAATTAATAAAATATTATTTTTATAATAAATTTAAATTATTAAATAAGTAAAATATATAAATTTACAAAAAAACATTATATTTAATTTTATTTATTTTATATATCTCTCATACATTTTTTCATAATGCAACTTTATAAACTTTTCAAATAATATTGATCTTTATTCCTCTTTTTTGTTTAATAAATAAAAAAATTTTTATTATTAAATAATTAAAATTCCTTTTTTATAATTCAATAAAATATAACCTAAATAATTCTATACATTATTATTAATTTTTATTATATAATCCTAAAGTTTCTTTCTTTCCTCTTACACTCATCATAAAAATTATGAAATATATCCTTCCTACTTATACATAAAATTATTTACATACTATAATATAATATAATATAATATAATATACTCTATTAACACATAAAAATTTTCTTCTTTATAAATAAATATTAAGAAAACATTTAATTTATAAATTAAAATCTATTAATAAATACTAACAATTTTTTCTTATAAATACTTATTATTTTTCATTCCTATCTTCTTAGTTACCTTATCAAATTCTTTCGATATCTAATTTAAAATTTCTAAATTAAAAATTAATAACCCCTAATCTTTCTTTTTTTTTGCGAGAAGAGGAGAAATGCATTTACGCATTGCGCTCCTGGAGATAACCGTTCCCTCCAGGGAGTGTGGGACTCACTTGCTAGCCAAGTACTATCCACTAAAACCATCCTCCATACGAATGCAATACTAAAGGCTTACGGATAGAACCCCGGGACGCCACAGGCACACCTTCAGGGCCCATCCAGCCATGCTCGTAAAACCGAAGCCCAACAATTACGGTTATTAATTAACTTCTTTGACTGCTACAGAAATCCAACACTCGGACATCCACACCACTACCAGGACCAGGGATCCCAGGACCAGGAAGGGCGAGAATTTACGTCGCGGGAAGAGGAAACGGAATCAGGTGAGAATCAGTTCCCACCGGACTTCATGACAGGCGCGCACATACGGGAATGCGGGAAACGCGCAATCGATCCGCCACGCGGGGGACAGATGCGACTTGGACCGAGCGATCGGCATAACCGATCCCCTAAGCCACCACGACCAATGCACCCTGTCTTCGTCTCTCCGCATCTTCCTTGAGAGACATGATTTCACCTATCATTGATTCTATCCATTGCCACTCGTCTCGTTCCGATAACATAGATTCGACGAGCGTTTCCTCAGATAATCTTTTCCCGAGTCTTCGCTCAACTTCTTCGCGCAAATAAGACCATGCCTCACAACGAAACACCGTGTGACCAGCATTGTCCCGTCCTGCAGGACAAAATTCGCAACGCTTTGTATAAAACTTTTTAATCCTATATAAATATGAACTAAAACAGCCATGATTCGTCAATGCCTGCGTCAATCGATATGACAAAAACCCATGAGTTCTGGATAACCACTCCTCTAAGTGTGGAACTATTAGTTTTCGGGTGTCCAACGCAGCATCGTTCGGAAACATTTCAGTCAACATTTCTTTCCACTCTGTAATTATGTCATTCTTAGCTCTAAGTTTAACAACATTTCTTGCTTGATGGGTAAGCTTACATTGGTGTCTAAATTCTAATTCCGAAATACGGTCATACACCTTTTTCCTGCTCCTGGCCAAGATGGCGAAGGGAGGAATTCCCGCTAAAAGCAGTGACGCCGTCAACGATACCGTACGATAGGTCGAGATAACTCTAATCGATACACGCCTCTGTATACGATTAATCGACTTTAGATTCCTCTTAGTGAGGACTTCCGTGGCCCATACCGGAGCACCATACAATAGTATGGAGTGCACTACGCTGGCGTACAGCTTACGCTTGTCAAATTTAGGACCACGCAGGTTGGGCATCAAGAGATCCAGTCGCGATAACACTCTTTCCGCCTTTCCCGATACCATCTCAAAGTGATGAGTAAATTTCCATCTATTGTCGATTACAATACCAAGGTACTTCATCCTATCGGTTGACTGGATAGAGATCCCATCCACTAAAAAGGTGAGACTTTTATCCTTAATGCTACCTGGACAAAACAGTACAGCCTCCGTCTTAGAAGGAGCAACTTCAAGCTCTAGACTTTTAATTTTGCTTATCACTAAATCACAGATTAAGTTCGCTCTAGAGGTCAACAAATTAAAATTCCTACTGCTAACGATGATCAACGTGTCATCCGCAAAGCACAAAGTGTAAGAACCATACGGCATTCCAACGCTCAATACACTGTCGTATGTGATGTTCCACAACAATGGGCCCAGGACTGAACCCTGAGGAACATCACATGTCACTGAGTGCTCTGTGTAGCGGCCGCTCTTCTTAATCGCTAAGATGCGACGATCAGTTAGGTAATCCATTAGCACACGTATTATGTACAACGGTACCTGCTTGTCTTTTAACGCTTTTATAATTTGCCTCCAGGCCAAAGAATTGAATGCATTGCGGATATCCAAACCGATAGCCAAGCAATACTCACCCTCACTAGTATGATTTCGGATTATACGCTGCATCCTAATTATCGCATCGTTCGTTGACCTACCAGACCTAAAGCCATATTGTTGATGAGACGGCTCCGGAGGCCTCCCTCCAGATGGGAAACTATCCTATTAAACAATATACGTTCGAAGATCTTCCCTATGTCGCTCAATAGGCAAATTGGACGAAAAGACGACGGTGAGTCGTCCAACTTACCCGGCTTTCGCAGTAAAACCAAGCGCGCTCGCTTCCATTCGGAGGGGAATACGCCTTCCCTCATACATTTATCAAAACATTTAACAAAACGCGTCGAGTCCAACGAGTAGTAAAGCCTTAAAATATGCGCCGATAAGCCATCCAATCCTGGAGCCGCCTTGCGAGAGCAGGACTTCTTTATTGCAGCTGTAACTTCATCTTCGAGCACTGCAGGAATAGTCTCGTCCAGAACCCCAAGTGCATCCTTATTCCATTTGATGACCATACGGGTAGGAAAGAGCGATCTTACCACCTCGCCGATCTTGGCAAAGGACAAATAATCCAGTGGAGCATTGTACTCCGAACCTCGGATCTTCTTCATTATTGCCAGGTACGGCCTACCCTAAGGATTGGAGTTTATTTCCTCCAGTAGCTCACTTCAGGCCAGTTTTTGAGAGCGCGAGATTGCATTCCTCATATTCCGAGACCGTTGACTATACTGCAGCCGGAGGTCTTCATATTGCTGCGGATTGCGGTCTTTTCGTCTTCAAGCTCTGATTAGCTTCCGTCGTGTTTGAATACATAGCCTGCATAATTTGGCTATCTCCTCATTCCACCAGTAGGCCCTTCTTATGTGCACTTGTCTAGATCTAGGCATTGACAAGTCGCAGACACGAGACAACAACCAAGTGAGCGAGTGAGAGAAGTCGTTAGCTAAGCTCGTAGGATCACACAGTACATCAGCATCTAAGATATTCGTCCTTGAACTTGTCAGGATCGACTTTGTCCGGATTCTAGCTTTTGCGCATCAAAGTATTAAATTTTTGCGGCTCAAAGCGCCCAAACTGCCAACGCATGTATCTGTGATCCGAGAAGGATATCAGATCACTCATCAACCTCTATGTAAAGCCGTCTCGTACCACCCTACCTGAAACCTGAATGAGGTCAACGATTGACTTCCCCTGGTCTCTTTCGCAAGTAGGTCTCGAGTTATTATTAGCCACAACCAGACCCGTCGAGTCAAGCCACCTCTCCAACAATGTACCTCGATCGTTGGTAATCGTATCACGCCAGCTCGTTGATCTCGCATTAAAATCTCCAGCTACGATAACTCTTTCCATCGGATAGAAACGTACCAGATCGTAGAGGTCATCCAGAAAGCCACCAAACTCCTCAAGAGGGCGATTAGGAGAGAAGTAGCAGCTAACCATTAGGTGGTCATTAACTTTAAGGGCTGTAAAGCCATTCCCAGATTTGATTCTTGAGACAGAGGGAGTACCAGTAACATCGAACAAAAGGATTGCGCTTTTTTCACAGGTAGACACATACCAATCTGTTCCTCCTTTAGTCCTGTATGGCTCAGAGACAAAGACCAAGCTAATTCCTATCTCTTTCACATAGTGCATCATGAGATCCTGTGCCCTCTTACAATGGTTTAAATTTATTTGCAAGGATTTATAAATCATTGGTTTCCATTTCTATCATCTTGTTACAGTCCTCCAGTCTCCGCACCGGTTTTATCTTGTCAGGGAATTTCAGCGCGTGACATCTATTGTTTCCCAATCTATCCGATTGAAGACCGGCCTCGAAACAGAGAATACACTTCGGATCACGGTCACAGGAATTTGACAAGTGTCCTTTTTCACCGCATCTATAACAAGTACCTGTTCGATCCATTAGACTTTTACAACTACGGTTTAAATGCCCGAACAAGAGACATCTAAAACACTGAACTGGATGTTCCTCCATCAAGTCTATTCTAGCTTCCGTCCAGCAAATCTGGATTCTTCCTAATCTGGACAATTTAATGGCCGTCAATAACGGACAACGCATCCATACGACGAGAAGACCATTATTCGCTCGAATTTTGTTGTTAATCTTGACTTCACTGGCCTTACACCCACCCTGAAGAGATACCACCTTGGCAATTTCCTCTTCCTTAACAGAATTATCAATCCCAGAGATCCTAATGCTAGCCATCTTTACCGGGCGCGAAATTACAACGCTGGGACTCACAATTTGTCTGGCCGTTGCCGCCAGTTTATCGGCTTTCTCCATATTATTCTCTCCGTGGACTTCTATTAACAAGTCATCCGATTGGGTATACTTAGTTCTTGTACGGTCAATACCCAATTCAGATAAGGAAATCATCTCGCGAATTTTGAAGAATGCCTCATCGCAAGATTTACCTTGAGTGGATTTTATGGTGATAGCGGCCGTTCTAGGAGGCTTCCTCTTGTCCCCAGGCGGTATGCCACTTCTCCTAGTATCCTTATCCCACAGCTGATTCCTGTTTCCTCATTTCCTTTATGACACTCTTTCCTTCCTCGCAAGGGGTTCCCTTTCTTCCTCTCCTCTGACTGGGTAGAGAGAAGGGAAGAAGCAAATCCCTCTTTTCCTTCTTCTTGTTCTTTTTTCTCCGTTTCTTGTTCACTTGTATCCATTCCACCTCCGTATCCGTTGCTGTGAATGGAATCATCTCGGATATAGAGAGATCCGTTTCTCCAGGAGTTTTATGCAGAGGTGGCCACTCCTTATTTAATCTGGGTTTTTTATTTCTCTCCACTATCATCATTTTCTTTGTTACAGGTGCCGGGGTCCCCGAGTCAACATCACTACGCAAACTATCACCAACCGGTAAGTGTACTCCGTATAACGAGTTCAAGGATCTCACTACGTTTTCCGTGATTGGCGAAACTAATTCCTTGCTATTAATTTCTGGGAATTGTCTTCCCTCAGGCTTTTTCGAGGCTACACAAACCTCACTATAATTAGGGCTGCACTTCTTAGGTGGAGAACTAGGCGGAAATATTTTCCTGGAAGAAGTAGAAGGAGCCATCAGTTTCTCATAATATTCTCTCGTCTTTTTATTCTCGATTTTTAGCTGTTTGTTATCTTCCTTTAGCCTAGAAATCTCCTCTTTCAACAGCTTAATTTCTCTAGCCATGTTTGCCACGGATTGTCTAGTCCTGTCCTCAGACGCAGATAATCCGTCAGTAACAACGACCTGCCGTAAGATTTTCCGTTTAAGTTGACCGATCATAAGTGGCGTCGTGATACGCCACGTACATTCCATTTTCTAACACCAACATCGCGTCGACGCGTCGCAACGCGCACAGATCCGCGGAATCGCCCGTGTCGCGCGTCGCGATCGTGATCGTCGCTACGGTCGTCGTCGCTGGTCTCAAGACTTCGCTCTTATTCCTTAAATCATATAAATTCTGAATGGTGAGAAAATCCGCCTCGCTCAATCGCACGGGAAAAAGTCTTAGAGGGGACAAAGGCGTATTTTTATATTATCATATTTTTCTAAAGATTGTGATGTAATCCTAATGCGTGGCCGATCTCGTGCGTCAACGTATGCAGATGAATCGTATCGTCAGGATTAGCGGTCAGCTCGATGTGCCACTTCTCTGCGTTATCCACGTGCACCTCCGATATTTTGGACGATGGTAAAAAAGCGTGAGCTAGCACGTTACCTGATCCGTTCAGCAACGACGGATATATTCGATTACCTCAATGAGGATCTACAACGTATGAAAACTCTTCCGAAATGATAGCACGACATCGGGATTCATCAAATCGCGCTCGAACGTCAGTGACAAATTCGCCGCCCACATCTCGAACGCGACCTCGGTGACTTCTAGAACGCTCTTGCTCGCCAGGTGAAAGTTCCAAGCGAGGCGCGTCTTCCTTGGAGACTTGTCCAAGTCAAAACTCGATATATCTTTGATGCCACATCGCGGATTACATCTGTTCCAATGTAGCTTCGTTAAGAATGCCATTACCAGGTATACGGTAATACTCCTGGAAAAGCGTGATCGCGTGTCTCAAAGTCAACGCGTTATCGGATATCATTTGCACGTTATCGCCGTTCAAATATCCGTAGGCTTGCAAAAACCGAATCGCCTCCTCGTCATTATCGGTGGCGGGATCGCTATCGGCGGCGGAATCGCGAATCGCCGCGATAACGGCTATCACGCACGCGATCATGACAATCCCGCGCGCGGGCGTCATCGCGCGAAGCGGAGGTCGAATCGACACTGCACGTCGCCGACCGAAATACGCGCGACCCGCTCGATCGATGTCGCCGTCGGTCGCGAAAGTGCGGAAACCGATGCGATGAATCTGAATCGCGAATTGGAAATTTCAACCGCTTAATTTCTATTCTCTATTGCACGATAGCGAGATTATTCTTGTCGAACGAGCCCAAATATAAGATCTCTCGTCGCGCGATTACACGCCAACGAATGACGATCTCGCTAAAGATCTCATACGCAATACTATTAAAAAGTACATAATAGAAAACAAAAAATAAAAGCATAACAACGAATAGCGATAGAATAGAAAAAAATAAAGAACGATAAAATAAACGATGAAATAAACGATAGACGAATCTCCTATTCTCCGCCGTTGCGGTCAGACTTTCTATAATCGCGCGTAGCGAGCGCGAAAATGACGCATTGCAAAATCATCTAAATATCCTTTTTTCCTCATCACCTGTCTTTTTACATTCCTAATAAAATATTATTAACACTTGTACGACGATTTCCTCTTCGCGTGACTCCCACCTCTCGTCTCTCATACGTTCCCGAGAACGTCATCCTCGGTATCGCAAATTGAAAACTTCCGGCATGTCGCCGATCCGCCTCTCGTCTCTACTATATGCAAACGAACGAGGAAAGGAAACTCCGTCTCTCACGGTTAGTTAATCGTCGCAACAACGATGCGTATTAATGACGATTCGCATTGTTCTTTTTTTATTTCATACATCATATCATATCTCGTACATATATTCATTGTTTTATTACTCAGCATTACTTACGAATTCATCATTCGTATACATATTCTTATACATATATTCATATCAGTATACATATTAGTATTATTACGTCACGGGCCGCGACAGTCCACGGAGAGGGATGCCGTGCAGCGCCGGACAAGGGGGATCACGTCTGCCAGTTGGCAACGCTGCCAGCGATCGAGCGGTAAATCGCTAGCGACGAATCGGTCGAACTGGGAAGGTATCGCGTACTCCTGACCACCTTTTATTCTTCGCGTTGAAACAGCGAGAGAGAAAAATTTAATAAACGTCGCGAAATGATGACATCAGATACAGGGTTTGACTCGTCGATGTAAAAACGTCCCTCGACGTTTTCGATAGTTTCTCCCTCTTCCTCGAGCACGTGCTGCTATGCTCGGGCGGCTATGTATATTTCAGAGCATTCGTCGCAATGCTCTATGTCACGGATAATTGAAAGAGGGGCGCGACAGCACTCGCAGAAATCTAGAGGTTCGGTATATCCGAATTTAAATGAATGCGACAGGGTGAGACGATAAGTGAGCGTGCCCTCGGGTATCAATTCCTTGCACTGATAACAAAGAACTTTCGCGCTGTTAAGAAAACTGCTGGCGGCTGAATTGTTCACGCGACGATAACCGAAAGCAGTGATGTAGCGTACTAAACTGACGCGATGTCTGAAGGCCGCACCCGGATGAGTGCGCGAGTCGCGTGCGGTATTAAATCGAGGATGGCACATCACGGCGATGAATTAATAATTTCGGTGCGAGGCGCGAGGCGCGTTCGTGCATGTTACTAAATAATATTTCAGAATATTTTCTGGATTGAGAAATCTGAAACGAACACTGGAAACAGCATTCCTCGAGTGAAATCGTCGCACGATACAAAACTGTACCAAAAAAACAAAGGGGAAGGTCATAAAACCTTTTCTGGCCGAGTCACTTTCCCTATTTTTTGTGCGATAGACGGTCACGTTTACGCTGACGCAACGGAATTCTTTGACGACGAGAAGCGTCGTTCCGAAATATACACGTGGCGCGTAATTTTCATATATTGTTTAATGAGATAATTGCAATACTGATGGCGAGGTCCTTACATTTAATTAACGAGATGACGCGAGAATTTCCATGCGCGGAGATTTATATTTCGTTTATTGAATCAATTCACCTACCTCGCCTTGAAATGCTCTGCGCAGGTACTCCTCGAGGAAGATCCGAGGTCGGAACTGGAGTTCGCTCGTCGAAGCAGCAAGCATTGACGGGGCCGGTCGTCCACTCCAGAGCCTGTCGTGTACCAGGAGCTCGTACTCTCCGTCGAATCTGGTAGTCTCGCCGATGGCCTCGTTATGGTCGAAGATGAATGCCACGTGGAGATCATACTCCAAGTGTCGAATCAAGGTCTTCCGACCAGCGCGGTTTCTTCTACCTTTCGGTATTCGCGTGAGGCTTCGATTAATCAAGGATTAAACGTATATGAAAATAAAAATGACGTCCTGCTGCGGGCCGATTCGCGTTGCGTATCGACTTCGCGTAGGAACGTTGGAATCTATCGCGGGCAAGAATTTCGAGCCTTCGTTGTGGTAAGTGCGGATGAACGTACAACACC